CCTGGTTCCGCCAACAATCGATATAAACTACACTATCCTAAAAAATTTCGCTATCCTGCTGCTATTTCGGCTTTCATCTTTTTAACGAGATTTGAATGTATTTTGTAGAGCTCCTCTGCTCTTCCTGTTACAATTGCAAGATTCAGCATCTTTTTCATTATTCTGAATCTCTTACCCCACTGTTGCCTGCATGTTAATTCACGACTAGCTTCTTTTGTAAAAACATAATGTCCGCGAATGCTTTTCAGGTGTATGAAATCAACTTGCACTGTATGTTCAAATGTGCTAAATTGATTATTTGTAACTGCAGATAATACCAGTTCACTTTCAAGTATTGAATCTGTTGGATTGGTATACCATCGTTGCGAAACTAGATCGATATGAAATTTAGCATTTTCTGAAAGAAGCATTACTGCATAGAAATGACGATATACAATGCCACGGTGAATAAGTGTCAAGCATATACAAAGATGAGCAGCATCATCATATAATACAAAAAAATGCTTTGACTTCTTGTTAATAGAAGAAATGTACCAAACTTCATGTATTCTTGTTAATTCAAGACCCTCGATTAACTGCTTAAGCTCAATTATATATGCATCAAATATTTTTTCTGAAAAAATACCCCTTGGAGATTCTGTAGTATGCTACAAGAAAAGTTAAAATTTATATTTAATAAGACTACTATAAAATTTTATTTTTTTTTAAAAAAAAATTTTTTTGCAGTACAATAAAATTTTATAATTACCTGTTTTTTAAGTTCATCTTCTAAACTTGTCATATAACAATGGTAGTGCATACTATGATTCATCTTATTTTTCTGAAGCTTAGTAATTGCAAGTGGCATAAAATGTTGACAAAGTATATCAATATTTTTAAAATATCGATTATGATAGTTTTCACCTCAACTTGCGGGTAGTTGATTAATGGTTTCATTTAATAGCATATAGCGACTTTCCTTTGCTAGAAGCTTTTTAATTGTGTGATCGAGTTCCATAAGAGAAGATGTTGCATTGATATTATTTTTAATAAGTGAATTGTATGACTCAATATGCTGCGTACTTTGTACGCTCGCATTGAAAGCATGATGCGTAAAACATAAAACCCACGCTTCTCTATAGGAATAAAGCTAATATTGTAAATAGTTTGCTGCATCACTATACTTTTGTAAAAGTGTGATCCACCTCTCCTCAAAAATTGTCTCAACATAACTATTACGTGTATAACAAACATCAGAGAAAAATTTCTTCCATTTTTCACCATGATACAAACTGAGAAAGTGCTTTTCTAAATTTTTCTATATATAAAACAAACAAAAGTGGTGTTTAATTGTGGGTCAGGAACATCTTATTGCTGCAGCCATAGCAGGATCGGCATTAGTATAAATTAGATGTAGCACCAATCTATTAGTAGCTTTATTAAGACTTTCCAACAACCAAGAAAAGATGTCTATTGTTTCATCAGAGATAATTACAGTTGCTGCGAGTCGAGAACAATTATGATTATCAATCACAATTACTATACACAAAATCATTAAGTGGCAGTTTGTTTTGGCTATTATGTCAAGAAGTACAATATCGTGAAAATGTGCCTATAGTTTTTGTTGACTAAGACGCATCCAGCAAAGAGATACAAGGTGATTGTCCTGATCTTCAAAGCGAGCATCAATATAAAAGGTTGGGTTTTCTTGTTTCTCTTTCATAAGAGAAAGATATAATAATCCAGCATCACTTGTGGTTCCACTTTGACATCTAGTTTGTTGTATTAGGTTGTATACATTATGAGAATGAATGTATTTTTTCAGATTTTTGTGTTGTAGTATCTCAATAATAGCGTCAGCACATATCTCACAAGCAGAAAGAAACTTCACATCATTACACATTGATGGCGTTAGTTTATAGCATCGAGAAGAGACCATAGCAAAATTTTTACA